CCCTGGGTTTTAGGCACCATGAAAGTGGTTTGGCTTTTAGCCGTGTTCACCGCCATAGTAACTTACGCTCCACGACTAACCTGGTCCAGGGCAGGTTATGTTCCAGGTAAGAGGTTGCAAACCGAACATGGACCAATCAGCTGTGAGCAAACATGTCTGATGCAATAAAGTCACTCCACCTGTTTTTACTCCAAATTAAAGATCACTACACAGCAAATGATTTTTAAAGACAAAATCGTCCGGCTTATAGTAATGCTTATTTAGAATAATAATTATGTATGATTTAGATATTATTTATGTAATTATTGTACCCTTAATCGATCACACATGTACAATTTAAGTTTATCAATTATTATTACGGACAGTTTAATTGAAAAATATATAAAGGTAATAATGTTAAATGTTACATTTTCTCTACCTTTATCAAATGTATAAACTAACTTTTACTTGCACTGAAATAGCAAGATTTTGTATTTTAGTTGTCCTCTTTCATAGACAGCTATTTTCTTCTTGCTGTGTAAATTTATTTAAATGCTTTATATTTTTCAAACTCGTAATATTCTGTAGTGAATCACGCTGCTTCTCTCGCGAGAAATTAATCTCAGTTTCACTCTTTCTCAGCATGTGATTGGTTGTTCGCTACTGATGTCACACTTAAAATCAGGATCAAAGCCTGAGTTGACAGAGAAAGTTGATGATCAGCATCATGGTACCAAAAAAGCCTGGTTGGATTGGTTTGGTTTTGTCAACTCAAAACTAATCCTGTAACCCTGAGTTTGTTCAACTACCATCATGGTACAGGCCCCAGGACAGTGTCGCAGTGTTGCGGTCTTTGCATTCACAGCCTTTACTTTTCTGGGGCAGTATTCATGAGGGAAGGGTGAAAAGGGAAAGAGGCTATTAAAAAGACCTGAAATGAGGTTGATAAGTGAAAAAGTTTGGGTCGAACTACTGTAAGTGCGCAAGACAGCTTTGCTATACCCACATGGCTGAGACAGACCACCACCACAACTATTCAATATGGTTCACGATAGTAAAAATTACAAATAATGAACTGTCAAATTTGAGAAGTAGGTAATTTTGTGCAGTGAGTGATGTTCTTTGAAGAACAGTAAAGAAATTATTTCTCATACTAAAAGTGGTGTTATTCAATATAAATTATACATTTATAAAATGTGTTTATTCTGTGAACCCAGATGCATACTGTCAAATCAGTGACAATAAAAATAAAATTGAAGACCCAAATCTTTTAGGTGTTTTACATGAAATGAGATGCCTAGATTCAACCATACATTTGGTTTTAAGACATCTACATACAGTGAGGAAAATAAGTATTTGAACACCCTGCTATTTTGCAAGTTATCCCACTTAGAAAGCATGGAGGGGTCTGAAATTGTCATCGTAGGTGCATGTCCAATGTGGTTTTTGCCGGGGTTTTTGCCTTGCGACGTCAGAGTGGGCGCCGTTATCCGCTGTGTTTGACGTCAGATTTGCGCTTCTGATTGGCCAACGTGGCTTTACGGTTAAGGGTTATATCGCCGCCTGCTGGCGTGGCATGCTCTTGACCGCGCTTGATAGCGTGTTTTTGCGTTTTCATGTAGACGGAGACCGAGCATGTGTGGACGGGATTTTTTTTTTAAACGCTGTAGTAAAAACTCCGGTTATAAAAATACCCGTGTCCGTGTGGACAAGGCCTTAGTCTGCCTTTAAAATGTCCACCTCCACTCCATTTATTATCCTAAATTAGATGCACCAGTTTGAGGTCGTTAGCTGCATAAAGACACCTGTCCAGTAAGAATCTAACTACTAACATGGCCAAGACCAAAGAGCTGTCCAAAGACACTAGAGACAAAATTGTACACCTCCACAAGGCTGGAAAAGGCTACGGGGAAATTGCCAAGCAGCTTGGTGAAAAAAGGTCCACTGTTGGAGCAATCATTAGAAAATGGAAGAAAACATGACTGTCAATTCCCTCTGACTGGGGCTCCATGCAAGATCTCACCTCGTGGGGTCTCAATGATCCTAAGAAAGGTGAGAAATCAGCCCAGAACTACACAGGAGGAGCTGGTCAATGACCTGAAAAGAGCTGGGACCACCGTTTCCAAGGTTACTGTTGGTAATACACTAAGACGTCATGGTTTGAAATCATGCATGGCACGGAAGGTTCCCCTGCTTAAACCAGCACATGTCAAGTCCCGTCTTAAGTTTGCCAATGACCATTTGGATGATCCAGAGGAGTCATGGGAGAAACTCATGTGGTCAGATGAGACCAAAATAGCACTTTTTGGTCATAATTCCACTCGCCGTGTTTGGAGGAAGAACAATGATGAGTACCATCCCAAGAACACCATCCCTACTGTGAAGCATGGGGGTGGTAGCATCATGCTTTGGGGGTGTTTTTCTGCACATGGGACAGGGCGACTGCACTGTATTAAGGAGAGGATGATCGGGGCCATGTATTGCAAGATTATGGGGAACAACCTCCTTCCCTCAGTTAGAGCATTGAAGATGGGTCGAGGCTGGGTCTTCCAACATGACAATGACCCGAAGCACACAGCCAGGATAACCAAGGAGTGGCTCTGTAAGAAGCATATCAAGGTTCTGGCGTGGCCTAGCCAGTCGCCAGACCTAAACCCAATAGAGAATCTTTGGAGGGAGCTCAAACCCCGTGTTTCTCACCGACAGCCCAGAAACCTGACTGATCTAGAGAAGATCTGTGTGGAGGAGTGGGCCAAAATCCCTCCTGCAGTGTGTGCAAACCTGGTGAAAAACTACAGGAAACGTTTGACCTCTGTAATTGCAAACAAAGGCTACTGTACCAAATATTAACATTGATTTTCTCAGGTGTTCAAATACTTTTTTGCAGCTGTATCATACAAATAAATAGTTAAATCATACATTGTGATTTCTGGATTTTTTTTTTTTTTAGATTATGTCTCTCACAGTGGACATGCACCTACGATGACAATTTCAGACCCCTCCATGATTCCCAAGTGGGAGAACTTGCAAAATAGCAGGGTGTTCAAATACTTATTTTCCTCACTGTATATGCATACAAAATCTGCTGATTGTGCATGAACATACTTTTAGGATGAAATGCAGTTTTTTTTTTTTTTTTTTGAGAACCCAGAACATGCTGAAATTTTGCAACATTCCCCCTTTAGACATGCAGCAAGACTACATGCATGGTAAAACATGTGACTGGAGCATGCAACATTCTTACAAAGAATGTTGTTAAATATTGTGATGGTATATATATAGTACCGAATGATTACTATATTAATGCATTTTAAAATGTTAATACTTCAAAGAAGTCCATAATGTCCATGTCTACAGCACAAAGTACGTTATTGATAGTATCAGATGATAATGACAGTTTATTTTTAATGAACGTATTTGTTTTTTCCTCCTTTACAACAACATGGTCAATAACCCAGATATTTACATGTCCTAAATTCTGGTGGCTAAAACATCATAGTACATGTAGCTAGATCAAACCCTTTAATGATTGTTCATATGAAGGGTTTACAAATATGCAGTAGTTGGAATTCCTTTATGTAAACAAATAGGAGTGGGGGAATGCAAGTCACACTGTTTCTCAGAAGTCTGTCTTCTGCACGGCATACATTTACGTCGCTTAATCGCACTGAGTGTAAAAGGCCCTTAACACTGTGGAAAAAGGGTAGATCTTTCTCTCCAACCACTCGTTCCCACCCACTTGACCTGGCTGCAAGCAAGCATTAGATGACATGGCTCTGAGAGTGACAAGAATCTCAGGTATCTGATTGGTGTAACAAAGCCATCTAATCCTCAAGCAAGGCAATAAGACGTCACATCCAGTGAAAAGGGTCTGACATCATGCTGGATAAACCAGTCAGAAAAAGGTTTGACAATGACTAACCTACTTTTCAAGTTATACTATCCCTCCCTCTTTGATTTTAAAAACCTCTTGTATGAAACAAGCAAAAGGACCATCTGTTTTTATGAACCAAGCACAACATATACAGCTGAATGAAACTGAAACAAGATAAAACTGCATGCGAGAAAGTTTGTGTAAACAAGCACCTACAAATTACAGCTGAATGATTGAAACTCCATCTAAGAGTCTGCAAGTATTGAGACGTAGGCCTACAATATAGTATGTTTATAGTAATATACTTCTAGACTTATAACTTAATGAAATTCACAACTCATTTAATTTCCATAATGTGGCGTATTTCTGAAAGAAAGAAAGAAAGAAAGAAAGAAAGAAAGAAAGAAAGAAAGAAAGAAAGAAAGAAAGAAAGAAAGAAAGAAAGAATTTATCAAACAATCTTTTTATGTTTTTATATCATGTTTACATTGGTTTGGCAAAAATTAATTTAAATTGTCTTTTTGCATTGTAACATTATTGCATTATTATTATTTGCATAATGTTATTAATTATTTTGATGAAGCAAACAAGTATATTCATATTTGTAAATTATTATTTGATTAAATAAACAATTGTTTGGGGGCCTATTAATGAACAAACTGAATTGTTGATCACAACAACAACAACAAAAGTTGTCACATTGTTGTGGGGTCTGTATTTTATTGTAATGTAACTTTGCAAATTTGTGCATATTAAAAACGTTTTTGTCAGCCACGCATGAATAAAGCAACTTTATCTTTGTAAATGGTTAAACGTGTAGAAGAAGAAAAACATGGCAATGTAATATGCAAATATACGAGACTAATCTCAGTATGTGACAAGCGCAATTCAGTATGCATGTTCTCACGAAAGAGGGGAAATCTATTACACCTGTAGTATCTCCTAAACAGACTCCAAAACTAACTTAAACCCACAAAACGGGAAATATTTTTCACCGTGTCAACAGCAGCACTGCGGAGGGTTCACTTTTCACTCAAACAAACAAACAAACACACCTGCAGTCGCGCGCTTACATCGGTGATCCAACATACACAGACTGAATGTCTCATGAGTGTTTAGTAGTGCTATTATAATCAAGGTACTTTACCATTTCGTCCTCGTCACTGTCCCGTTCATTTTCTCCTTCATCTTGGTCATCCCCATTTCTTGCTTTTATCTCGTCGCAGCATTCAGCGAAATCATTTCCCTTCACTTTTTCGTCAAGACCTACAAAATCTGAGGAGTGACATTGAAATTCCTCAAATTGTAATTCGGGCTCATACGTCTCGGCTCGCGCCTCGCCTTCTGACAGCGTGTCGGACCCTGATGAATCGTCTCCACCACCGTCTCCAAATGTTTCTGACTGCTCACTCTCCATTTCCCTAAAACATCTCGGTAATTGTCTTAAACTAATGACATGCTGAAGGACAACTCATCTGAGCTCCAGCTAAGCGCCCGAGAGAACTTCCCTCACTGTGCTGCTGTAATTTGAACGAACATTAGTGTTACTCAGCCATTGAAAGTGAAGTTTGTAGTGCAGCACTGGAGCGCGTCCTGCTCAACTCATCGCTGCAGTGTCTTTAACTGAAGTCTGCGCTCATTGGCTGACCAAACCCCGCCCATCAGCCAATGAGAAAAGAGCGCGCTGGTCAAATCCTTTTAAATCAATGGCGAACTGACCCTTGAGCTCTCAAAAAAAGATTTGTCCAAAGAGCACGGACAGGTGTAGGGCTGCCAATTACAGCAGGAATATAAACGGGACAGTATCGTTTTATTAAAGTAAGGGGCACTGGCCATTTTTATACCACACATGCCATGCATTTGAGATTTAAGTAAGAGTTCCGAGCAGCACAAGAATGACCAAGCGAAGTCTTATTTACAAGTAGGCCTAAATAAGTAAATAAATAAAATAAAACGATAATAGGCTACAATAGTTGCCGAGTAATCACGTTGGAAGAGGCGTGTTAACTTGAAACATTGCGGAAAGGTGAGAACAGTAAAAGATTATATTAAGTTTGTTTTAATTTGTCATTTCAAAAGTGTGATGTAGTAGCCGAGAACACTGGTAAAGTTAATCTCTCACCTTTCATGGTTTGCTAAAAACAAAATTTTAGTTTTTTTACGATATTATAACGATAGAAACGAATTATTTACATGAGTTTAAAGATGTATAGCTGTGATTTGGCTTTATTGTGCACCATGAATTTGAATTGCTTAACATAATATTAAATATTATAATTTTTTCTAAATGTCATAATCATTTGTTAACAAACAAGTATTCTTCAATGAGCTCATTGTTTCTGCATTAAATTATTACATTGTTTAAATTAATACCTTTTTTGCTTACTGTGATTTTGTTATGTAGGCCTACATACATAACTTAGCCAGTTACCTCTGATAACAGATCAAAATTGTAATGTGGACTCATGCATTTTCTGTAAAGCTGCTTTGAAATGATGTGTATTGTGAAAAGCGCTATACAAATAAATGTGAATTGAATTGAATTATTAAACCAAGTAGCATTTATTTTAAAGAAAGATCTCAGTCACTCTTGTCAAGAAAAACATTTCAATGGAAGATTTTTTAGGTTTCAAAGCCTATACATTGTTTAAAATTATGACAAAAGTGTTTTCTGGTTCACAAACAAATGTGTATCATGTTTAGTTTATATGATGAACTACAACCTGTGGTTATCTGATAGGACACCTGTGTGAACTTGGGTGGGTTGGGCTAACATCAAATGTCATTTTTATTTATTGGTCAACCTCTTTGTTTTAACAAATATATATCTATAAATATGTTTTTTCTCTTTTTAAACACTGAGTATAGTATACAAGAATGTCAGTTTTGTATAGCTGAATGCTACTGTGTATTACATTAAGCTTTTTAGATAGGCCTACAGATTTCAATAGGTAAAACTTTCCTGGGAAAAGTCAATGTAGTAGCAAAAAGAATGTTTAGAATTGTTTAGAATAGAGTGTGGCAACTTCACTGATAATCAACACATCTTTTTTTGTTTAGCAAGTCATGTGCATTCAGTTATTGTGCAAATTGTAGGCTATACTAACTCTCTTGCACATGTGCCAACACATGTAGTTTACTTTAATTCATATCTGAAAAAAATAAACTTGTTCAGTGATCTGAACTTATTGTTTTGAGAAAAGTGTTTAAGAAAAACTGTAATAAGTACAAATATATCAGTAGGCTACAACATACAAATTTAGAACAGATCCATACACACAACCCTAGCACATCCCAATCCTCCATCCAGTGCCAAAGTATAAATAAACTATGAGTAAAGTTTGATGACAAACTTTGATGTTGGCTTGACAAAGCCTTTTTGTCTGAAAGTTTTAAATAACTTTGAGCTTGTACTTTGAAGATTTCACTCAAATAAGTCAATTAACATGTTCTAGCACATTGCTAACATGTTTTAGCAAGTTGATAGCATGTTTCTGGCATGATTAGCACATTGCTAGCATGTTTTAACATATTGCTAGCATGATTTAACACATCAAGCAAACATAATTAAACAAGAGGGCATAGATAATCGGATGAGGTTTATGTATTCTGTCCTGTTGTTATACCCAGATAACAGAGGAAGTTTCCCCAGTGTTTTACAAACAAATCCTGACTTTTCTTCAACCGAAATATTATTTTTATGGTATGATAAGATTATACTTCCTTAGCCCACATAGAGATGGAAGGAGGCTCAGAATTCTCCTACCTCAATGTACATTTTATGGCTGCTAGAAGAGCTACAAACCTCAGATAAACCTTTGCCTTATCAAGTAATGAAATGTCCCCCCAACAGGATAAGTCTGGGCTCCATGGGCATATTAGTACCTGTTTATCTTCTACATGCTAAGATCATACACAATATTGTGGTCACTGTGCTTTATAAATGGAGTCTTGTGCTCTCAGATTATCATTCTGTGATTATAACTCAGGGGATTATAACTCAAACCACAAGGTAAAATGCCAAACCTCTGTTTTCTCTTCCATTTCTTAAAATCTTCTTTGATTTAAGATCCCCACAGTATTAAGAGAACCAAGTCTCTTTATAAGTTTTAAAAAGCAATGAGAGGTGCTCTGTGATCTCTTAATCAGCAAGTGTTTGGTCTAATATTCATCACTATGGCAGCTGTGCCACACCTGACATAACTAACCAAAACTTATAAATCACAGAAAGACTTATAGATTCACTCTGTAGCTGTCAAACACATGTCAAGAAACATAAACACTCGTATTTAAATATTTGGTAGTCAGGTAGTTATAAAAATTTATTAGCACAAAAATATATATATTATGCACATTAAATTTAAAAGATGCAACTGCAGTGAAATTTTTTGACAAAAGTACAAGTTAGTTAGTACACTTACTTCACAACAGATGGCGCTCATCTATAATAGTTTGATTGTATGACTGGAATGGCTTGTGCTATTCCAAATATGATCTAAAGTCCTTTTTTTATATAAAGATATAACAAAAATTTGGGGAAAACATTGCATGTACACAGTGCAATTAAAATGGTTTTGTTTGTTTGTTTGTATTGGGGTTAGGGTTGGTGGTTTAGGGTTTATTAAAGAATAATTGATTTAATTTATGAGAGAGATTTATCTGAAGCTGAATCTTACAGTGGATTCAGAACGCATTCAGACCCCTTCATTTTCACATTTTGTTGTTGCAGCCTTATGCTAAAATGCTTTTAAAAAATTACGTCAATCTACACTTCATACCCCAAAGTAAAAACTAATTTGTGATAACTTCAAATTTACTGAAAAGAAAAACTGAAATATCACATTGGCATAAATATTGCTATTAGCTCATACACATTCCAATTCTCTTTGACTGGAGTCCACCTGTGGTGGCAATATAAGGTAAAAAAAAAAGCTGAAAATGCATATCAGAGTAAAACTGATGGGGGGGAAATAATTTAATGCATTTTAGCATTAAGCTGTAACAACAAAAATGTGCGGGGAAAAAAAACAAAGTGTCTGAATACTTTCTGAATTTTTCTAACTTTCATTATCATCTCACCATCATTGTGCCGTTCTGAAAATATGTTGATTCAACCTCAACCTTTACCAAAAAAAAAGACCTTATGAAATCAGCCAAACACACATAAGAAAGAGAAAAACAGCCCACACACTCTTATCTAAGACAGGGATCAAGACCATCATCTTCCATTCGTCAGGTGATCAAAGCGATGAGTAGTAAAACTATAGATAAACATACAGGTGGGGGATTTTAAAACTGTGCTGTAGTGTACACCACTCTCAATATATGACCAATTTCCTGTAAATGTCCCTTTGACTGCACTATGTTTTTGTCAAGCAGACGACTAACACAAATGGCTAACTCACATTTTGATGATGTACAGTACCAAGATGTAGGAACAAATTTGGAATATGCAAAGGAAATTTTATATTTCAGTCTTGCTCACATCCATTTCTCAGAATGAGTTGTGCTTTAAGTAAACAAAATGAGAGGATGTTCTTGGTGTCTACAAATTTTATCAAACTTCTTGATCATCGTGTGGTTGGCGTAGTTCGCGCTGTCACATGTTCCATGTGCTGTTAGCATCAAGCTAGGTAAAAACTCTCTTGAAAGCTGTCAGACTTCTACATAAACAACACTGCAGGTTGTTAGATGACTCCAACTATACACAGTGAATCTTACATAAAATAGTGTAGATGTCGCAGACTTGGTTTTGCCTGGATGTCTTTTCTGTGTTGATAACTGAAATGTGTAGATGCTGTTAAGGGTCACAAGGTTTAAGTGTTACACTACAATACACTGTTTCCTACATTGGGCCTCCCAACGTTGAAGTCTCTGAAGTGTGAACATGTCTCTTCCTGTGTGTGTGTGTGTGTGTGTGTGTGTGCACTTAGGAGAAAGAGAGATATTTAACATCTCACAGCTCCCATACCACATGTTCTCTAGTACAGTTTCTAGTAACTGTATAACTGCCAAATACATTATTTAGATAGCGCTGTTTGTTCATCCTGATGTTGTGCTGTTTTACGAACTGGACTTGTTTGTGTGGAAAAAAAAATCTGATATTTATAAGCTTGAATTAGATTAACTTCCCTTATGCAGTTTATTAGTAACATAGACTCCCTTTCAGATATAGAAAAGTAACAATTGGCATATCATTTGGTCAACATTCAGATTTCTTTTAGTAGCCTATATACTGTACTTCAAACTGACAATAGGCCTATGTTTCCTTGAAAGCTCTACAGATGCAAAGAAGTGAACTTACTTCAGTTTGTCTTTGGGTTTCTGAGATCTGTCATGTGAAACCGTTCACTCATTTCTCAAAAGTTTCAAGGGCCTTAGAGTAATCTAGGAAAAGTGCTTGTTCCCTTAAAAAGGCAAGTTCTCACCACACATTTTGAACTTGTTATGCTGCATGTTCACAACTGTGAACATTAAACAACAACTGAATTTTTCCATGAGATAAAAATATCATATTTCAAAGTCAAAAAGATAGTTTATGTGATATAGGCTAAATACCAAAGAATATGTCCCAATTAACTGTTACATATTTGCTACTTATTGGTTATTTAATGGTGGGAACTATAAATTACTTGGGAACTATAAAAGATTTACATGGGGGAAAAAAGTTCATGTTTGGCCTAGATCTGTAATCATGGATCATCTGAATAATTGGTTATCTCTTTTTCACTACATATCAAGCATGTTGGGTTTTCATTTTATGGGGACATTCATATAATGATTTTTATTCTGAACAAACTAAATATGCTATCAGCTAACCCTAAACCTAACAATCACAGAAAACCTTCGGCAGTTCTAGATTTTTATTTTAAAACATGTATGTTTTTTAATTAGATTGATTAGCTGTTTTTTGAGGATTTCTTTGGTTACCATGTCTTCCCATACTGAAAAACTAAAGAGTAGTCTGTACAATTTATTCTTTCAAGTTATACCAGGCAATACTTTTATCATAAAAATGCTGTAAAACATATTTTAGGGTTGACAAACCCACAGTTTAGTGAAAAAATGTGTTCTCAACCCAAAGGCTAAGTGATTTCAAATGTCAAGAACCTCTACAAAGTTCAACCATAGCCTATGTGAGTTCTATTCCTAGTTTGCAGAAGTGAAACTTCTTTTCAGCACAAGCTGTGTATAAGTCAGTTTCATTGCAATTTGATAATGAAGAGGATTAATTAACATTTCTTTCTTCTGAGGAACTCTATCTCTTAGGCTATAGGCCTATATAAACAGACATTGTTCAAAATATTTTCTTTTTGTGTTCTGACATGATGGTGTGTCATGTTAATCTCGTAAATGTGACAAAATGTGATGAAAATTATTCTGGTTCTGAGATATAAATAAAAGAACACTTTTTTTCCACACATAAGCGGCTTAATCCAACACTATATCATGAAAGTGCGTAGCCTATATCTATAGCACGAATTTTATTTATCGTGCCATTTATACGCCAAAAATAGTTTTTGAGTGCATATGATAGGCTACACACTGCTGGTGCTGGAGAATCAGCGGAGTTCCTGCTATATGTGCCAGCATTTTTTGGCGCCCATTGGCTCAAGGCCAAAATGTTGCGCGCGTCTAAACGTTGCTCAGATATGCTGTCTAGGTAGGCAGTTCACTTTGTTCTAACTTCAGAGACAGCCTATGAGATTTCAAGAGGACCTGTTGCGCTGTAGTTTCATGAGTGATGGGAATACCCCTCACTCTTCCGTTAGCTGGTAAACTGCGTGTGTGTACGATGAGCAGACTGTCAAGAGGATCCGACAATGCGCAAGTGCTCGGCTGCATTTTACTTCACTCTAGGTATGTGCTTTAGCTGTGTTTTCAAGCAAGTATTTACACGGAAATATGTCACATTATAGCATTTCATTGATAGCATTGCTGAAATTATGTTATTTCAGTAGGTTTATTAATATTTCAGGTTTCGTATCTCTCTGTACAACCGAAGCGTCAGCAGGTCAGTACGTTGGACATTAGTGCACTGTGTGTATTGGGTGTGAGTCTGAGACCACATTGAACCCTGTAAAAAAAAAAAAAAAAAAAAAAATGTTTTTCTGTTTTTAAAAATAGAACAAATAAACGTTTTGACGTCGGGACTATAGCCTAGATTATGCCGTGTTAACAGGCCAGTAATCAACAATATGTGAACTTTATACATAAGATCTTTGTACAGATTTTGTGTTTCCATTTAAGCACAATATGCTCTTTGAAACATTCTCAAATCATGCTGTTAACATTGTTCAGAGGATAAATGGCAATCACTTGACACAGCTTTTCATTTAAACTTTAAAGGTTCCTGCAACTGCAACAACTTGAACTTATTAAAAGATAAATGCAACAACACAGAAGGTAAGAAATGGCCAGCACAAATGATGTAAGCTATCTTTTTATTTATTAGATTGGAGTAAACTAGAATACTTGTTCTTGGTGTAACATAAATGTTACTTTATTTGTATTAGGAATAAGTAGCCTATGACACATCTTTTGGTTTTATATCCCCACTAAATTGACGGAGACATGTCAAAGCAAACATCTTTATGTTTCAATAAAACATATTCAGCTATTCTTTGAATGAAGTGTAGTTTAATAATTTCCCCTATACCATTTAAGGATAACTGTTTTCTTCTTTAGAGTGTCTATTTACACTAAGAGCAAATAGCCTGTCTTGCTATTTACGCTAACTCCACACACCATTGTCTGATTGAGCCAGACGAAATTACAAAAGAAACCCATCTGACAAATTGGACAGTTGTGTGGAAAGTATAAGGACAGTGGATGTAGTTTTTGATGCGACAGATCAAGTTCGAGTTTGCCTTTTTCCAATTCCCATTCTTCTTCCCTTTTCCATTGCATATCAGCTTGGAGAGGTGTTTATTTAAAATAAAATAAAATAATGAAGAAAATATTCAAAAAGTTTAAATAAAGTGCCTAACGTGTATTCAATAGAGGGAATAAAGTATCTACCTGGCATTTAATAGGCCTAAACTATGCAACAACAACAACAACAACAAACAATTAAAATGATGTCATCATTTTGACATCATTTCTAAATTTACACAAAAAGTGTAACTATCTTTACTAGCTTAACATTCAGCTCAACATTCAGCCCTGTTACCAAAGGCATTAGAAAAAAATGTTTAAACAAATATTTCCCTTTAATCAATGAAGTTAGTTACATTTTAGGACGAAATGGTAATATTCCTTGCTTTTATTGCACTTTCATGAGATGAGTGGGAAACAGTAACTACAGTAACTTACAAAACCAACATTTGTTGACAATATAATTATTTTATTTGTATTATTATTATTTGTGTGTGTGTGTGTGTGTGCAAAATCTTTGCAAATCTTGAAAATGAATAGAAAATAAAAGTTGGATGAACAATATTTTCTAAAAGTCGAGCGCTTCTTCATTTCAATTGGAAGAGTTTCAAGTTTTTGTTTCAGTATCTGTAGAAAGTGACATTCATTTTTGTTTATATTATCAGTGGCTATTTCTCATTTATTAGGAGTCAATGATTTTACATGCTTCATAAAACATACGATTAATAAAAATAATCGTAAGTTCGTCTGTGAATGGAAAAACGGAGGAGACTTATCAACCCCATTAACACTCTACGCACAACAGTAAGTAAATGTAAGAAGTCTGAGGCTGAGCTTCACACTTTCTTGCTGTTGTTTGATGCTTAATACAATGTAAAAGTTAATGTACAATTATCCACGTGATAACTGAGAATTATATTAAACAATCCACACTGTTTGTTTCTTGCATAGGAGGCGATGCAGTTGTGAACCCATAAATAAGAAGAATGCAACTGAATTTACTTTCAATGCCTTTAAAGTAATAAAATGGAGTATAACAGCTCACGTAATTGCAACCAGTGAAGATCAAAGCCGGTGCACCTACAAAAATTTCAGTGGATATTCAACGCAGATAAGTATGTTAATCAACAATATTATAAATCAGTTTCAATGTATTCTAACCTCTGACCTTAATCTAATATACTGATTTATTGAAATTTTAATATTAGTAAAAGTTGCTTGACAATTCTGTTACCAGACAGAAATCTCCACAGGTTAGTATGTGATTCTGCATTAGAATGTTTGATGTTTTCTTTCATTTCAGCGCGGTGCGGTCCTCCCTCTAAACAGAATCTAATTTTTAAAAGAAGCTCTGGTCATTTGTCTGTTAAAGTGGACTGGGGAGATGAAAGAAATTATATTAAAAAGTTCTCTGTAAAGTATAGAGAGTTCAACACTGCAATGTGGAAAGAGGTCAGTAACAACTAACACAATCTAATTTTAGTGAATTGGTGGCTAATTCTGCTTACGCCCCAACGACGGGTATGATTAGGGGTGGGATTAGCGGTGGGCCTTCATGCTTACTTTTTTTCCTAATAATTGTTTTTGTATGATACATTGTACGAATTCATACGAAATCGACACCTCGCAAAATAGTTCCTGTGAGATCAGGTTGATTATTGCACCCGGCAGTTTCAGAGTATATCAGTGTCTATTTGCAACGATCAATCATTGTCACCTTTTTTATCCTGCATATCTGCATATAAAATAATATGACACATCATAATGTGCAACTCATTTTGTTACCTTAATAGTGTAAAGCCCTGGGACAATATTCACCCCGTGGAATTGATATTCAGACACATTTATTAACTTTATGAGGGCATATTATTTCTTAACCAAATAACACACATTGTGACATCCATTTGTGTAAATTACTTGAAATAAATTCTCATTATGAATACTTATATATCTATGAAATCAAATCAATTACAAATGTATTTTCGCTAGCACACATTAAATAATTTAACCTTCCTTATGTCAGATGAGTACAAAATGGGGACATTTTTTGCCGTCGCAATTATGAATATCTTGGGTGTGTTTGTTCACAGCACTGGAGTTTACAGTAAAAGAGTGTGGATCAGTGTAGATCTGAGAAAGCACTGTACACTAGGGTGTGGTGTGGCTTTGTGGTTAAAGATGTGGGGCCTTGTTTCCAAACCTTTGTGTGGGTTTAAACCCCAAAAGTATGCGTAAGCACAAACTACGCAATATGAGGATCTTATTATGTACAATCCCTATTCAGTTAGTTATGATGATTACGACACCTGGATGAAAGTTAAGTCTGATCTGAATTTATATCTATTTCCATCTGAGGTACATTTTATATTCTATCTATCTATCTATCTATCTATCTATCTATCTATCTATCTATCTATCTATCTATCTATCTATCTATCTATCTATCTATCTATCTATCTATCTATCTATCTGTCTGTCTGTCTGTCTGTCTGTCTGTCTGTCTGTCTGTCTGTCTGTCTGTCTGTCTGTCTGTCTGTCTGTCTGTCTATCTGTCTGTCTATCTGTCTGTCTGTCTGTCTGTCTGTCTGTCTGTCTGTCTGTCTGTCTGTCTGTCTGTCTGTACATCTATCTATCTACATCCATCCATCCATCCATAAATCCATCCTTTAAACCCTCAAATTTTTACACTTTTTCAACTTCAATCATAAAGATATAGGTTCAGTCCTTCTACAGGGCCTTTTCCAACTGACACCAGAGATGTTAATGTGCTAGCTTGTTTCTCCTCATTTTGTACTCTTGTACTCTGCAGAAACAGTCTAAAAACAGCAGAGAGTGTGATATGTGGAATGTGACGTCTTCTCTGCCGTATGAGTTGCAAATACATTGTGTTCACAATGAAGAGTGCGCGCAGTGTCCACTCAGTGAGGTCATCGTGGTCCCGCGGGGTGAGTTGAAGACAGGGGTTTTCAAAGTGGCTAAATACAAATGTGTGTATTTACTGATTTCTGTATTTTCTTGAAACTGTATACTTTTGTTTTAATAGAGAAGTGTGTCATTTCTGTCATGAAACAAACAGTTACAAGTTACAAACACTTCTTCAATTCAAACACAAATCTTAGAGCTACACTCACAGCATTAGTTGAGACGATGTTATTCCCATCTGCTCCGCTCAAACAAATAATTCTATATTGTGCTGCTGGTGGCAGTGAAATTACACACTTTATATTTAATATTTAATTGACCACTGTATTTTCAAAATTTTACTTCTTCAGAACTCACAGATGCACCATCAATCCAATGGGAGTTTCAAGACCATATACAAAACCCTTTTATATCAGCAGGACAGAGAAAAGTGGTCGTGATGTGGGAGGTACTAAGTTATGTCATTTCCCAAAGCCAACTGTGGTGTCAATGTATATTTTAGGTGTTGGGTGTTTTTTTTTCATCTATTAGAGTTTTTCTCAGTCGCTTTGGTACATTTCTCAGATCAGAATTGAAATTCTCAAAACCTGTTCAATCTTCACATCATCGTGTCACTTGTGCATATCAAAAAAGCAGTTTCTCATTTCTTTGAACAAGTTTCATATGCTTTGGTACATCCATGCGAATGATTATGTACAATTCTCTGCTGTTTCCTACATTATCAATTGCTTATGTCATGTTGATCAAAATGTATTATAATGGGTCTCTGTTGAATAGTCTCACCCCCCACAACATTTAGGCATTAGTTCATAGCATAAGTCTTTACATGCAAAATGGTTGAACCAGTTGTCATAATATGTCAAGCATATTCATTTCCATTAGGCTTTTTTTCTAAATCTGTCTTGTTCACATTTCTACTTTTGTTTTTTTTGTGCTTTGCAGTGCTGTCTTTTCCTTTCTGTATCGCAATGGTCTGTCAACAAATGACAGTACAAACAGTAAAAGCGTAATGTGAATCTTGTCCAGTCTCTTGCAATCAAACTCCCACATACACTAAAGTGTAACCTACAATTTACAATAATTGTCATCAAAACTTTAGCCATAGTTTACATCAGAACATCCCTCCAGAATATACTGTTATATTGACAACATGACTAAGCAATTTGACTGTCTTATCCGTACACAATGACACAAGGACTTGTCATTCTGATGGCACTGACATGTTCATTGACACAGGCATTTACTTTTGAGAGATGAACTAAGGATTGTGAGCAAGAGACTGGCTTTTGCAGGTAATCCATGGTGTTTTGCTTTTTGTACGAATTGTTTTGAGAAATGCACTTACTGTTTTGCAAATTTCGAGGATGATTCGAGAAATGTACCCAAGCGACTGAGAAAAACTGTATTTCATTTAAAATTGCCCAATGTGTGACAAGATATCTAAGATATCTTAACTATTTTATTTGGAACATTTGTATCCTAATTGGATCCAATACTAATCCTCTAAGAATCAAATAAGATAATCCTTCTGGATAATAACTTTTGTTTTATATAGTAAAATCTTATTTGATTCTTAGATTTGTCTTATTTTATCTCTTTAGGATACTGGTAACAGTTTAGAATAAATGTTTCTGTCATAAATGAATAACTACACAAGACGACGACTGTTACAAGTTTGCTGTAGTAATCCAAGGGAGAATGCAAGAAGATAATCAAACTGACTTTTTTAATGAAAAGCAGGGAAAACAAAGAACTGCATACTATAACATAATGTTAACACTAGACAAGGGAGCTAAGGAAAACTCAGGGCTTAAATACACAAGGATGCAAGAGAAAAAAATCAAGAGAAAAAATCAGATTTTTTTAAAAACAATTTCTTTATTTGTGAAAAAACTGTAATACGATTACAGAATCAAGAAGTTTTTCATCTAAAGTAAATCTGTTTAATTTTTATATAGCATTTTTAAATATATAGAAGACTTCTAGAAGTAAGTGTGCTGTGCTGAAGAAGTGGTCCTTGCAAAACTCGGCACTAGGCAGTTACAAGGATTTTTTTTTTTTTTCTGTGACTGCTAGAAATCTAACTCTCAAGTCTGTGCAATGTTTTAATGCTTTGATATGGCTTGTTCATGTTGCTATACAGTTGCTAGGGTGTGGCTACACAAGTACCATGGTGATACTTGTTTACAACCATGCTGCCATATGCTAGAGTGTGGCTAGACAGTTACATGGTTGAAAGTTATGACTGAATGTCTGGGCCAACCCTGTGTCTCTATGATGTTCTGGTGCTGAGATATGGTTTATTCATGCTGCCATACAGTTGTCATGGTGCTCTAAATGGTTGCTAGGGCGTGGCTAGAAGGTTTCCATGGTGATATTTAAAGACTGCTTGCCAGTATGAGTCAAAAGATACCACCCAGATGTCTCTACGATGTTTTAATCCACAGGTAACCCTCTCATCTTATTTCAATGGAAATCTATGATGTGGTTGCTAGGGCATGGCTATGTCATTGTTATGTCACTACTTATTGGCTGCTTGCTGGGCAGAGTCAAATGAGCCCATCCACAAGTGTCAATGACATTGTGATGTGGAGATATGATGTCACTAACTTCTGTCCAATGTTAAGTCTATGGGATTTTTCTCCCGCTGGATGAACATTATACGCCAGTCGTTTATAAAAGTCAGAGCAGTGTTGTCTGTTGTCCTCAATAAGCCGCACAATTTGACACTTCAATCATGGCAAATGTTGTGGGGTGAGTTAGGTGTTAAGATTTGTACGGAAGAAGAAGAAGAAGAAGAAGAAGAAGAAAAAAGTCGATGTATGTGAGATAATAATAGTGATGCTAAAGAGAACTGTGTAAAGAGTTTTGGTGGTGTTTGTGTCTGAGTGAGAAATAAGTTCGCGTAATTTGAATGATGCTGTAGTTGAATGCATTTTGTGCCAAAGCAATGATAAATGATCCACAGTTTAACTCAGATATACTGCTGTTGTGCTCACTGTGGAAAGAGTTTTGAAAAAAGTGACCCAAGTATTGAGAAATGTGTCCTAGTAATTGTAGAAAAAAACTGTAATCAGAGTTTCTTGTTAATATTAGTTGTTAGAATATTGATAATGCACTACACATTTGTTCCTGTGTAGTTACTCATTAATGATGGAGCAAAATTCTAAAGTATTACCAAGATCCTTTAAGATTAGTTCCAAAAAAGAATAGAAGTTCCCATTGGAACCCTGTATACATTAGGATTTTTTGTCAATCGTGAACATTCTTTCTTTCAGTATGCAAACAGTGAGGCTGTGGCTGACTACAATGTGACCGTGGGGAAAGTATCTGGGGAAAACATCACTCTGTGTAACAGTTTCAGCACTAAGGATCCATCTCTCACCCTAATCCTGTCTTACTCCGCATACAATATCAGCGTCAGGGCTTTGAACAGTGTTGGATCGTCTCCTGTTTCCAGTATAGCCATTGAGCAAATGGATGAGTGGAGAGGTAGGCTACATTGCGTTCGTATTTTGTTACATGCTACATGCAGAGTACTCTGGTTAGGTTTACTGTATGTCCAATGAGTAAACACTGTATATTTGAACATTCAATGAGGTATTATTTTATTTATTTTTTAGATTCGCTTGGGCTGTTAAGCGTTAACATAACCAGGAACAACAGTTTCAGTCTGTCCTGGAGCAGCTCGGTCTCTAGCGTGTGTTACTGTGTGGAGTGGTGGGCCAAAGGACAGATTCCAGCTTTCCAATCATTCTACGCGAAGCAGACGCACAGAGAAATAACCGAGAAATCTAAGAGAAGTACTGTTCCCTTTAATTCTCGTATAATAAGTAGGATGAAATAAATGTATAACAGTATATTCGTATAATAGATTAATGGACACCAAAGATGCCCAAAATGATGAAAAAGAAAAAGTTCTTAGGAGTGTAATCTTAGTTTTAATGTTGTAATTATTGATTTAATAACTCTAAAAACATGGTAGGCCTATAAATAAAAGTGGTGTAACGTTAAGTATCTTGTAAGAAAGAAGTAATAGATATTTTAATATGGGAATACATTTCAGAGGTTTTCAAACTTATTTCTCAAGGTAAAAAGTGTTTTTAATTACTTTTAAGTAAGGGATAATGTACATCCAGCCGGTGGTTCTCTCAAAATAACCTCCGACAGGATGATGAGGACCCCAACGCGAAATGGAGGTCGGAGGACCCCGACTTGAAGCAAGTAACCGCTTATTACACGAGTAAATAATTAGACACGAAATATTGATCTGAGTTGAAATATTTTATTAGGTCTTTAAACGTAAGCTTCCGCGGAGAGAGCAGTTGCAGCGCGGCAAGTTCAAACTAAACGGACATTTAAGAGATACGGTATACAGTCATACCACTTATTACACAGAATTTCACCACCTAAATAATTATGAGGGTAAGATATACTGATTTCAGATTAAACTGTTTTAAAATCGTACCTGATTGTATCTCATAATCCAACAGTAGACAAAACAATAGTCACAAAATGGCAGCAGCTGCGTTTTTATGAAACAAGAGAGAGCGAGTCCACGAAAATGGATGGCATGATTAAATAACTGTACACAAAATATTGATTCGACTGAGTTTTAATATTTTAGCTCACCAAACGCAAAACTTCCATGAAGAAAAACCGTTGCTAGCAGGCTTATAGCACTGCTGACTTCAGTGACCCGGATGACCCTGCTTATAATACATGATCATATATTCTGCCATATAAACAGTATAAAAAATAGAGCACCATTTACTTGCATTAAAGAACTCTGTTGGTATAATTATAATTATAATTAGTATTATTATAATTATTGTTAGATTTAATTTATTGCCACACTTTAATATGTGAATTATGTTATCAGAAAACCGGCTTTTGTTTGTGCTTAATGGATAAAACAACGGAGCTGTGCTCTCGGGTTTATGGCTGCTAAAAGTTTGACCTGCCACAAGATGACACTCTTGATGGTTTGAATCTTTTCCCAAAAGAATCAGAGAAAAGCTTCTAAGATTTAAAAGACTTCATTTCTCCATCCCTTCAATGGAGTCCAAAACACAGGCAAACAAGGATAATCAGGAGAGCAAGACATGGAAACCAAGATATGGGAAACCAGGATACAAGCACTCAGAATTGCATTGTAAAGCCTGGAACACACCAAGCCGACGCCGACGAACTAGCGCCGATGAAAGCCGACTGTGTTGTCGCCTCTCGTTGCCTCTCGTAAGCTGAACAGCCAATCAAAGTTCCCTCTTTCACCGACGGCCCGACGCCGATTCAACATGTCGAATCGGCCGAAACAAAGCCGACGAGGACCAATTTCAGCCGACGGCACGGAACCGTGCGGAACACACCGAGGAAACTCAGTCGGCCGACGCACAAAAACTGCCCGACGGCCGACCGTCGGCTTGGTGTGTTCCAGGCTTTACACAAAACAAGACTTTGCAAAGTTAGAGTGAAAACACAGGGCTTATATAGGCAAATTTTAACTATGGTAATCACACACAGCTGAACATCCCTGAAGGAGGGAACAAAGACATTACGTTGTTTTCACAAATAAAACAAGTGACTCCAAGCACAACTACGTAATATGATTACAAAATCTTTAACACATTTATGAAAATGTCCATTTTCCTAGGCCAGGCATCACTTTTGGCCACTGTATATTATTTAATGCTTTGCTATCAGCATAGTAGATACTTTCAGCATAGCAGATACTTCCATATTTATTTTACCTCGATTATAAGGTGATTAAGAACTTTATTTATTAACAGCATTAAGAATTGCAACAGTGCTCTACATTTTTTGTTGTTGTCTTTCTTTGAATTTAGTTTTTCAGCCCTATACGAGATATTATTTCTCTCTGCACACCAGACCATACCTGGACACCTGCGACCTGAAGAATGTGAACAACAGTGAGAGGACATATGGCACAGCCCAAGCTTACTTCAGTGAAGAAAGTAAGTCCAAATATTCATAAAACTGCTAATATACAGAATTGTTCATTCATTTCCAGCCTGATACAGTATATACTGGTTAGTGCTTGTAGTGTTGTTGATTGACCAGTATATACACTCACCTAAAGGATTATTAGGAACACCTGTTCAATTTCTCATTAATGCAATTATCTAATCCACCAATCACATGGCAGTTGCTTCAAATGCATTTAGGGGTGTGGTCCTGGTCAAGACAATCTCCTGAACTCCAAACTGAATGTCAGAATGGGAAAGAAAGGTGATTTAAGCAATTTTGAGGGTGGCATGGTTGTTGGTGCCAGACGGGCCGGTCTGAGTATTTCACAATCTGCTCAGTTACTGGGATTTTCACGCACAACCATTTCTAGGGTTTACAAAGAATGGTGTGAAAAGGGAAAAACATCCAGTATGCGGCAGTCCTGTGGGCGAAAATGTCTTGTTGATGCTAGAGGTCAGAATGGGCCGACTGATTCAAGCTGATAGATGAGCAACTTTGACTGAAATAACCACTCGTTACAACCGAGGTATGCAGCAAAGCATTTGTGAAGCCACAACACGCACAACCTTGAGGCAAATGGGCTTGTTACGATCCTTTTAAAGTCTAGGAGATGTTACGCAACATTTGTTTTATTAGTACTGCTGATGGCTGAATACGGTGGAGAGGAAACCATGACAGACTCAACTTGAAGAGAAACAAACTGGATTTTTATTGTCACAAAGCCGAAGCCACTAGTTCCAGTTCGGATGATCAATGGGTGTGCTATTTACAATGTTTAAAGAATAACAATAATCAAATAATACGAAAGAGAACCAAAAAGTGGCGCCAAAGAAAAGAACAGAATATAACAAAACAAGCCTTATACTAAACCTAAACCTAACCAAAGGAAAAGGTGAAAAGAAAACCGAAATCTTCAGTGCATTCGGCACCTAAATAAACTAACTATTAAACAAAACATACACAGAGTGGCGCTCACTCCTAACCTAGTGTATCTAACAAATAAACACTACGGGCATTATGTATACCGCGGCATACTGACCTGTCGTTCTCTTTCCCAGAGAGAGTCGAATTACAGGACCCCACAGCGTCAAACTGGGATACACATTGAAACTATGATCTCTACGACTAAAACATACTGAATATTAAGGTACATATAAACAAAGCATAAAGCACCCAACTCATTCCACTACAAAGAGCCAGTCATCACTATCTGAATCTCCATTCACAGGTTTAGTAACCTCACAACGCTACACAAGCTCATGGCCGCTTCCGAGAGATCGAATGAATGAAAACGCCATCCTTTTGAACCCAGCTGGACAACTCTGATTGGCTCCCGGGCGCTGCCCCAACGATGAGTGACGTCCCGCTAGGCCAATCTCAACAGCCTGCCACCCAAGAGTGAGCTAGAAACAGAAACAGATAATGAGCATATACTATCAACACGTGCGGATTATGCCAGCGTGCACAGACTAGTGAAAACAAAACAAACCCCACGTGGAACGTAACACTTCCCCCCTTAAGAATCAACTATATGGATTAACTCAACAAATAGTTGATCAAATGCATTCGCTCAAATGCCACCATAGGCAGCTCTAGACAGTGCGTCGGCTATTATATTCTGGACACCTTTTTTATGCTTAATCACCAAGTTGTAACCCTGTACAATCAGAGACCAGCGCATCAAACGCTGATTCTGATTATACATGCGTGATGAAAAAACTAAAGGGTTATGGTCGGTAAATACGGTGACCGGAATGCTACTCGATCCGACATACACATCGAAATATTGAAGTGACATTAAAAGTGGTAATGCCTCCTTCTCGATCGTTGAATAATTCAACTGGTGTTTGTTGAACTTACGTGAGAAATAACAGACCGGATGATCAATTCCATCCTCACCTGTCTGAATCAATACAGATCCAGCACCAACAGAACTCGCATCTACATCAAGTTTAAAAGCGGTGTTGTAATCCGGTGCGGCTAAAACAGGTGTATTACACAAAAGATCCTTGATCGTACTAAAAGCATGTTGACAATCATCAGACCATAGAAACGCACGGGATGGACTAAGAAGCGCAGTTAATGGATGTGCAATCGTCGAAAAGTTTTTACAGAAGCCACGATAATAGCCAGCCATCCCTAAAAATCGACGGAGCCCTCGTCGAGTGGTTGGAGCAGGAAATTCAGCTATAGCCGTAACTTTCGCTTCTAACGGGCGCACCTCCCCTTGACCGACTTCCTTCCCGAGATACGTAATAGTGGCCTGCCCAAACTCACTTTTGGCTAAATTTAAAGTCAACGAGGCTTTCTCCAAACGCTCGAAAACTGTTCGCAATGACGAAATGTGTTCTATCCAATTGGTCGAGTAAACTACCAAGTCATCTAAGTAGGCATTACACTTGGGCACTCCAGACAACACGATGTTAATAAGCCGCTGAAAGGTAGCCGGAGCGTTACGCATGCCGAAAGCCATTACCGAGTACTGAAGAAAACTATCAGGGGTAACAAATGCAGAAATGTCAGAAGCATGACTCGTAAGAGGCACTTGCCAGTAGCCCTTTAACAAGTCTAACTTACTGACATAACGGGCTGAACCGAGGTTGTCGACACAATCTTCCATGCGCGGTAAAGGAAAACAGTCGGGCACCGTCACCGCATTTATCTTTCGGTAATCAGTACAAAATCGCGCCGTGCCATCGCTCTTCGGCACTAATAAACATGGAGAACTCCAGGGACTACAGCTGAACCGAGCAAGTCCATGCTCTACTAGATACTCAACCTCATTTCGCATCACATCTCTTTTCGCTGCATTTACGCGGTATGCATGCTGTTTGATCGGGGCAGCATCACCCACATTAATGTCGTGCTCCAAAACTGTAGTGCGAGAAGGTATATCATTAAACAAAGCAGGAAAATCATCAATCAACTGCATAATATCACATCCTTGTTGTTCAGATAAATGAGATACATGAGATGTAAGATCAGATAATACCTCAGAATTCTTAAGTCGAGCACATTGTTGATGTGTGTGACGAAGAACAACTCCATCATCCTCCGGATCAGCAATCTCGACAGCAGCACAAGTGAACACAGGAGATAACACAGGAGATGACACAGGATCAATGACTTCTTCTGCAAGTGACACATTCTGAACAGCTTCCCTACTGTAAAAAGTCTTTAACATATTCACGTGACACACACGAGTCTTCCTTTTCCTATCTGGAGTTCCAATCACATAATCTGTAGTACTAAGTTTTCTTACCACCTCGTATGGTCCAGAAAACCGCGCTGATAAAGCAGACCCTACCATAGGCAGCAACACCAACACTTGATTGCCCTTATTAAAGGTACGCTGTACAGATTTACGATCATAGAGACTCTTCATTTTACCCTGAGCCACTTCAAGTGACTCTCTTGCCACAGAACAAGCTTGATGCAAGCGCTCACGGAACTTACTCACGTAATCCAGCACGTTCATTTTCGGGCTAGACTCAACAGACAACAGATTCTCTTTGAGCATTTTCAAAGGTCCTCTGACAGTGTGTCCGAATACTAGTTCAGCAGGACTGAATCCAAGACTTTCTTGAACTGCTTCTCTGATCGCGAATAAAAGTAATGGTACCCCCTCATCCCACTCTTTCCCGGTTTCCATACAGTACTTTCTGAGCATTGACTTTAACGTTTGATGGAAACGTTCGAGTGCCCCCTGACTCTCCGCGTGATATGCACTTGCTACCCTATGGGAAATATTTAAACTGGACAACACTTGAGAAAAGATTATTGAAAGAAAATTTGTGCCTTGATCTGTCTGCACAATTTTTGGTAAACCAAACGTAGAAAAAAACTTAACAAGTGCTCTCGTTACGACAGGTGCCGTGATCTTTCTCAATGGGATCGCCTCAGGAAATCTAGTGGCAGTACACATTACGGTCAATAAAAACTGATTACCGGTCTTAGATCTAGGCAAAGGGCCGACACAATCGACGATAACGTGCTCAAACGGTTCTCCCAGCACTGGAATAGGAACAAGTGGAGCACACGGAATGACTTGATTCGGTTTGCCAGCGATCTGACAAGTGCGGCAAGTGCGACAAAATTGTGTGACATCAGTTTTTAATCTAGGCCAAAAGAAATGTCTCAAAATTCGGTGATAAGTTTTTTTAATTCCTAGATGTCCCGACAGGTCGTGATCATGAGCTAAAGATAGAACTTGCTGTCGGTAACATGAGGGAATCACGATCTGATACACACTACTCCATTCAGCATCCCCAATCTCCGAACACCATTTACGCATCAATAAATCGTCCTCAACGAAAAATGCAGCTTTTCTCTGTTGAGCTTTCTCTGTGAAAACAGCAGCAGCAAAACACTTCTGGAGACTTTTATCTTGTTTTTGAGCAACAATAAGTCTCTCACGCGTCACGCGCAGATTTACACTCATAGTATCTTGAACATGCGCATTCTCAACAGCTCTAACGTCATCAGATACAACATCAATGAGAAAAAAACAGGTGCGATAAAAGATGTAGCCAAATCATCTGCATCTGCTTTACGAGCTTGGGCCCGCGTCACTACACAAGTCGAAAAAGTTTCTGGATATGACTGGGATAACTTATCAGGCTGTTCGAGCGCCACTGGATTGTCGAGGACTTCCAGCAAAGGCATAATTTTGCCACTGGCTAAATCATTGCCCAAAATAATTTGTACCCCACTCACCGGTAAACGTTCACGAACAGCTAACTTCACAAAACCCGTACATAGTTCTGATTCTAAGTGAATCTGATGCAACGGAACTTGAACGAGACCCATCTCTATGCCCTGTACTAGAACATGACTGCCACAAAACGTTTGCTCCGAGAACGGCAGTACATCAGCACTAATAAAGGACTGCATGGCCCCAGTATCACGGAGCATCTGAACTCTTACCCGTTCCTCAGAATTTCCCGTAACGGAAATTAACCCTTCCATCAGAAAAGGTACGTAACTG